CCCCAAAACCCCAAAACCCCAAAACCCCAAAACCCCAATAAGGATAATTTATATCGAAAGTTATAATTAAAAATTCAAATATCAAATGGAACAAAGTCATCAGAAGAGCTTAAGGACAAAACCATCCTATCTAACGAACCATAGTATGCGTACAGAAAATGGGCCCAATAAAAACACAATACCGCCCCTCTATCCGTTTAAGAAGCCTAATTTCAATTTTAATCAGGGAGATGAAATGCATAAGAGATCAAGAGGGCAGGCAATAAGGGATGCTGCAAAGAGAACTGTATTTGGACAAAAGTCGACTCTTAAGAGGTTCAATTCCTCTAATGGCATTCGCCTGCATGAGCAAAGTACCAGAGATGCTGAGGAGGAAGAGGAGACCAAATACCCTATTCCACCCAGAGGGCCTATTGACCTATCTGAAGCAAGGTTTACAGGCAGCTTTCTTAACCTTGCAGCACAAGTCACCATTTCCCCTAATCGAGAGATTGTTATTAAAGGCAAAGATGATGCTGATGTCGAGAATGATGAGACCAAAGCTGTCAACAACATTTCAAATAAGTAATAAGTTGATCTTCAGACCTTACTGTGGAGAAATGACTGAACGGCCAGAACTTATGAAGAAGAATGGCTATTACTTCAGATTCCAAAATGCTGATGTTAGGATAGTAAGATACACACTTGAAGACAACGGTTTCAGAGAGAACGCCAATCCTCGCAATAATGACTGGCTTATTATGTGGTCTAACTCTGGATATAAATCAGATATATACCAATCAATGAATAAGTTTCAGAAGGTTAATCATTTCCCAAGATCATCTGAGCTCACTAGGAAAGATAGCATGTACTCAAGGATGGCAAGGATGCAAGCCATGTACGGGGAAAAACACTTTAATTTTGTCCCCAAAACTTATATTTTGCCTAAGGAATACTCCTCATTAGTGGATTGAATGGAGAAAGATCATAATCAGACGTGGATAGTGAAACCCTCTGCTTCATCGCAAGGTAGAGGAATCTTCATTACTGACAATATTGAAGAAATTAATCCGAAATCTCCCCAAGTGGTATGCCAATATATAGATAACCCCTTCCTATTTGATGGCTATAAGTTTGATTTAAGAGTGTATGTGGCTATCACTTCGATTTCGCCTCTAAGAATATACATGTACAGGGAAGGACTTGCAAGACTGGCAACTATATTGTACAACTCTATTCCAGAGAACAGTAAGACTACAAAGTGAACTCACCTTACTAATTACTCGATCAACAAGCATAACCCTAATTTTAATGTCAATGATGGAGAAGGTGTTGAGAATGCTTCTAAGAGAAGCTTTAAAGATACTAATAAGTACTTGCTCGAGAACGGAGTCGATATTGACCTTCTCTGGAGAAAAATCGAAGATATCGTCATCAAGACTATGCTCAGCGTCGAGCCATTGATTCATAACGGTATGGAAATGTACGTTCCTTCTCCAAATAATTGATTTGAGTGTCTTGGTTTTGATATCCTTATTGATGAAAAGCATGAACCTTGGTTAATAGAGGTGAATCTTTCTCCTTCACTGGGCTGTGATTCTCCCTTTGATCACAAGATCAAGTCTAACTTGGTTTCTGATTTGTTCACAATGATTGGAGTCCCTCCAATAGGTCATAAAATCCTCCAAGCTAGCAAGAAGAGGAAAGGAAGGTTTAACTCCTTAGCTCCTCACAACAGAGGGCTGGGAAATCACAAGAAAGGGTTCTTAAAATAACAACTTTATCAGTAAAAAAAAGAGGAGAGAGTACTTTGACCTCTCTCACAACAGGAATGACAATATGAGCAGAGTGCAGTTTAATGACACTACAGACTATACTCGGGAAGAGAAAAAGGCAATTAAAGATACAGAAGATGAGATCACCCGTTCCGGAGGCTGGAAACTCATCTTCCCTAATGAAAACATGCTCTACTATGAGCAGTTCTTCGAGGAGAAGAGGAAAATTAACGAAGTTGTAGCTAAGAGACTCTTTGGGCTAGCATCTAAGAGTCATCCAGCTAGATTACAAAGAATGAGAAAGGCTGGAGACTTTATATTCAAATCAAAGCTATCCAAGAAGGATTCTGATGGTACCTCTTATTCAAAATTAACATAAATCAATAATTCAATTAGAAATGACCGAATCGGGGTTTTGGGGTTTTGGGGTTTTGGGG